TAGTTTGATTCCACTGGAATTCTTTACCCAGTACTGTGTGTGTGAGTAAGTTAGTTTTACGGCGCTTTTAGTAGTATGTCAGCAATATCACGGCGGGGACACCAGAAGTAGGCTTCAAGACTGTATCTAAGTTGAGTATCGCGTGACGCACGAACGCATTAAGCTACCACATCGTTATATAGAACATGCCGTTATAGAACATGCCATTAAAGAACATGCCGACATGTGTCAAACCTGCACAGGTAACTCTACATGCCTTGAGAAAGGTGTGATATATACTCAACGTCATTATTGAAGCGACACCTAGGAATGGTTGTCAAACATGAACATGTGCAAAAAACATTAACAAAAATATGGAACAATAATAGCAACAGAACAATCGTTATGATAGAACAATAATGGCAACTAAACAACAGTTACAATACTACTATAATTACTGTTGAACAATAGGTGCATCACTGGATTATATATCATACTCACTGTTCTTCTCTGGTGGTGAATTAGATTAACGAGCGACTATTCTTTCATAACTGTATTGTCGATTTACACTATTTACGATGGGAATAGCATGTTTTAGCATGAGTGTGTAAGGGGAAGGAGGAGGGGGATTTATTGTGCTAGCCCCCGGAGAAACCATGCGGCTGTTAAACATGAATACCCCACTCAGAAACACTTACTGGCTCCGAGCCGACCAGTCCTAGTTTTAGCCTCTAAACGCATAGCGCTAGACAGGGTAATAACAAGTACCATCTATTAACGTATCTTGGCATGACGCGGCCGGGGATCAAACCCCGGAACTTCCACTCTCCAGGGCTACCACCAGACCACGGAGGCGGTCAAAGACTTGTAAATCATCTGCTACATCGAATACAATACACGTTAGGGGCGGTAGGGTAGCTCAGTTGTACAAGTGTTTGCTCATGATGCCGAGGTCCCGTGTTCGATTCCCCAAATGGTGACAATGTGTGAATCCCATTTCTTGTGTGCCCCTGCGCGAAAGTGCTAGAATATTGCTAAAAGCAGCGTCAAACCAAACTCACTCACTCTCCCAATATACTTAAAAATCTAATCCTATTCAAGTTAACAGATCACATTGTATACTCGTACAAAAAAGATGATAAACCTTGCCGAATTGTTTTCGTTCTTCAAAATAACAAACGTTCAAAAATTCGATATTAAACGACACGGCGACCAGCCTCTAATTCATATTATCTGTAATTCTTGCTGAATTAAAACAAAATCAGGACATTTTGTTCCTTTCAAACTAAAATCCCAATGTGCGTGCCATGAATGAGTCAGTGTTCAATCGAATTGCCTGGCATGTCTCCATCAGATTAAGGCGTGTTTAGGGAAGGGGAAAAGTGGACGTGGATACGGACGTTCACGAAGTTCAATGACTGGGGTGACTAGCAGGTGGTCTTGTGGGCGGGCGTATGTAGCTGCTTACAATGTTTCATCGTTTGTCGCGAACAGTCTTATGGTGACTTTGTTTACGGATGTGTCTCTAGGGTTGGGTCGGTGGTCGAAAAGATAATAGAAACAAAATTACACAAATGTTTTAAAGTGATGAATATTGTCTACCAGTTCAGCACCGTCTATTTATCATCTTCACGAACACCTGGTGCCCTCACTTATTTTCAGTGATCTATTCATAAACATAAACGACCAATGGAAGTTGTTTCGGCGGGTAGCGGAGACTTACGGTGGCCCATAAGGGACATGGAGTCTGTTTTTCCATATTTTGATATTTCACTTACATTTATCGTAACCTTTTGCAAATAAACACGATGTCTTACAAATATGTGATAAATCATGTGTAAAGAAGATATTGAATCGCTGAAAAACGAAACGAAAATGTCAAAAACTAAAATGAAAATGTCAAAAACACAAAACGAAAATGTCAAAAACTAAAAAGAAAATACAGAAAACTATTTCAACCGCGGTGTAAATATTATCACCGCGGTGGAAATAGTTTTCCGTGTATTCATTTCAGTTTTTGACATTTTCGTTTTGTGTTTTTGAGATTTTCATTTTAGTTTTTGACCTTTTCGTTTTGGTTTTTGACATTTCCATTTTAGTTTTTGACATTTTCACTTCACATTTCAGCGACTCAAAAGCTACTTAAAAGTACATTTTCTATGTTTTCGGATGTTTTTATACATGATTTATCACATATTTGTATGGCAGATTGTGTTAATTTGCAAAAGGTTAAGATAAAAGTAAGTTAAACATCAAAATATTGAAAAACAGACTCCATGTCCCTTATGGGGCCACCGTAGAGACTTGTCATTCTATGGCGGAGACGTTTGATATTTATAATGTTAATACCTCTGACAATATTAGATCAAAGAGCAAACACAGCAGACACAATATAACTTACAATATCCTCTTTGTGGAAGTGTAAAATCTCTATCCAATCTGAAACCAGAACTTCCAGAACCGACAGTTGCAAAACACGATATAAGTACAGCTATTGGGACAGGTGTCATCTACGATTGATTGCTTAGTTTGATTGACATCATGAGCATTATCTACACGGACAGGACACGATGACAAGCATCAACCAAGTCAGCGAGCCTGACCACCCGACCAATTCTAATCCGGATCTTCTCAGGTATCAACTACGGTTGAGTGTATTACACTAGGTTTCAGTGTTAACGAATTAGTTATATTACCCCGTTTTTCCTTAACAATTCATGTGTGACAAAACCCTTTCCATATTCATAAGAAATCTCTGATAAAAGCAGTGTACGATTCGGACAATATCATGAATGGGGAACAAGCTGACACATCGTAAATATATTCTGATATAACATTCAAGTAGAAGTCTGACAGTGTTGCAGTTGTCAAATATTGTCTCAATGCACAGTTCGTAGACAGCAGGCTAATTCAGGATGTTCTGGACCACCAATAACAATTAAAGGTCCAGAGTAAAGGGTTTCATATTTCAGTCTGATGCATATTGTATACCACTGTATATAATGCTGTTTTGAAATGTGTGTCAACTATTTGATAAATCCGGGAATACGAAACACCTCCGTAAAATAATGATGACAAGAGTCAATTATGTCAAGATGGTTCAGATATCGTGGATAAAAAGGGGAAAATATGAAACCCACTTTTTACATTTATAATAAGTCTAATTATAGGCACAGACCCTGATATGTGCTGCTCTTTTGATATTGACTTGTCGCTACGCAGATCCATGTTCTCTCCCACGGTGTTTTCCTGATGGATTCGGAACACACCCACTTTGCCGTAATTTACAAGAATCGCATCCCATGAAAACTACAAAGCGATTCGGATCATGTCTGATTTTAGTGTCAGAACATTTTGAAAGCCTTTATGAGAGTAAATCTGAATAAAACTGAAAATACATAATTCTTTTCATGAAGACTAATCCTGTGTTGTCAAGGGTAATTAGTGCATATTCCCAGCCGCGTGGGGGCGGTCGGGTAGCCTAGTGGTTAAAGCGTTCGCTCGTCACGCTGAAGACCCGGGTTCGATTCCCGACATGGGTACAATGTGTGAAGCCCATTTCTGGTGTCCCCGCCGTAATACTGATCGAATATTGCTAAAAGCGGTGTAAAACCATACTCACTCACTCACAGCCGCGTGCATTGAACACCCACGTGTCTGTCACGTACACATACAGAAGAATGTTACAGGTGGTAACAGATATTTAAATTTTGTCCAATCCCAAAAAGCCGCTCCTCCAGCTCTCATTTGGTTGAAACATCAACCAGGATAAGGGAAGCATACCTTCTCCAAATAGAGGCTTGTGTGGGGGACAATATTTGTTTTCTGAGCAGAACCAAGCAATGAGTAGTGTTTCAGTGTGGCATTGACGCTCTTTCGTCACTCACTCACGCACTCACACACGCAGGCACGACATGACATGGCATGACATAACATGATCAATTAAGTGTCGTGTAGGTGATAAAGGCGTGTTTTTAACCAAAGTAGTACATGATAAAGAGGCAGTGGTTGAGATTTATGTTGATCTTTCGCATACTGTCTAATAAGACTACACACATGTTATATGCCGTGTAATGCTTTTCTTGATGTGAGTTTCTACATGATGTGTTGGCTAGGAATGAAGTGTGGTGTTGGTACAGCGTGTGCATCGCCTCCTCGGACAGGATCAAGTGTCGGGGCAGTGGAGTGTTTATAACCATCGCAGTCGCTGATAAAAAGGCGGGGTTAAGCGACGGAAGTTAGACTAATGTTTATTTGTCGGGTACTGTCTGTCTGTATCCTATTGTCTGCAATTTTTACGGAAATGTTTTAGACATATGACACTGACTAGCTGTCAAACTGACATGAATGTTATCGTGGAGATTTTTGAACAGAAGATCTAGGTTTTTGTATCTAACCCTTGAATCAGGGATACGGTATTGTAGAATGCCATCTCTCACCGAACAACACTAGTTTGTGAGGTATCTAGGTCATGCGTTACTTTAAGGCATTCATCATTTAACACTCAAACAAATACTGACAACAGCTGTCAAGTGAGATAAGCGAACGGATCCTTGTTCAATCTGTCGGCAGTGGGACGGAAATATTCCTGTCCGATCAAGATAAATACGCCTTTGCTTTGAATTGAACACAAAAGAGAACACAACTATTTGTGAATCATCAAATTTAATGACAATCAAGCAAACAAATAATTCGATGCCGAAAAGTAATTCAAGCCACACATAACAACTGCACTGAGAATACTCCTATTATAAGACAGTTACAACGTGAACATTGTACACACATATATAAGCATCCTTACTGATTATCAGTCTGGATTTAGGAGTAAATGTTGATGCAAAGAAATGACCCATCGTAAATGTATACTGCTATAACAGTCAAGAAGGACAAAGTCTAACATTGTAAGGACCATTAAATTTTTCGGTATTGCTATTGCCGAATATTGGCTCACGTCACAGTTTGAAGACAGCAAATATTTCAGAGGGACTTCATATGTTAGATTTTCATCTTCATCTTCATCGTCAACCACTTGAGGCTCGAGGTGCAGCACATGTGCACCCAACTGCTACTTCTTTGTCCTCAGGTTGATAGGTGAAGGTACCATTTTCACAGCTGTATTTTAAAACACGGAAGCTAGCTTTCACTTGTTCACACTGGTTCTTGTTATTGTTGATACAGTCTCTACAATTACAGCTGGCACTCCGAAGCTGTTGTGGATAAATGTTGTCTCCAAGTCTTAGCGAGACGACACTCCAGGGGCAAATGGAACGTTCTCGAGTGGAGTCTTGCATGTTCTTTTGTGACACGGGTGAGTTCGAAGTATCAGGGATGTTGTTCAAGCTGTTGAAGATCTGTTGTATATGTGATGGTATCTTGCATTGCGTGGCATCCCTTCGTGCTCTCATCATGTTTCCCATATCGTCAGTCACTGGTGTGGCAGTCGCATTCATGATGACGACGAGTACGACAGATAACTGTGACAGCTGCATGTTCGTTGACAAAACTTTTGTAATCAACTTAAAATAGTGACTTCTGAGCATCTGTCAGTCGAGATTTTCTGGTGTGACTGCTCATCACAAACGACCTCATTTTATAGCAAGTGTGAACCTACACTGCCAAGACGAACGGTCGGGGGCTGAAATGGGAATTCACATTTTGTCCAATCCCAAAACTATAATGTTGAATTTGAGAATGACTCTAACAAATGTCTGGGGGCAGAAATAACTCTTCCGGGTGTGAAATGTTCGCCATCTCCATCTCAAAACCCCATCTCTGCCTCCTTCTCCTCCTACAATTTTACATTTATCAAGATTTGTCAGGTGACCTTCAGATGTTCAAGGGTATTTATTTCTTCCGGTTGTAAGAGGATAACACCTAGTCAAGTTTTCTTTCTTGACTTCCTGCTTGAAGAGGACACATTTTTGCTTAAGTAAATACGAAGAAGTATACCGAATGGTTTAATATGATGATTGTTCACAAGCAAAATTCTTTACAACAGTGTACACATTTTCGGAAAGATGTTCTAATGACAAATTAGGGATAACAAATCATGTTTCACTGTAGCTAACTTAAGATAATTGTGCACTCTTGTTAAGCGCCAACTCAGGAAATATCTTCCTTTGTGAGTGACAATATTCAAGCAACTTTACTGAAGCCTATGAAAATCTGCGCTTTGGTTCGAATATATTGCCTACAGTTCAGCCTGAGTTAAATTCTTAATATTAGAAACAGGACATGTGCATAAGTAATCAAATGTTGCGATCTACAGCAAATCTTCAACGTTCAACACCAGTACGTCTTTGTGAGTGTGATGATTACTGACATCCATGCATAATGACCACTTCACCATCGGATATATATTGTTCCTTCTCGTCCTGAGATTCTCATTACTAAGTACATGTCTGTCAGACATGCAATTGTGGTCATGAGTGCATAACGATACGGTGCAGGATTTAAACTATTGTTCAGCTAACTCTATTTTTGTGTTGACTGACATCCTGGGTTTCTTTCAAACGTATTGACATTTGAGTCCTTTCAAAACCGACATGTGCACACACCGAATCATGGACTGCCGAACTTCATACCCACCCCCGCCCCCTTTGCCTCATGAGATAATTTCCCCATTTTTAAAGTATCTTCTCAAAGCCATCTGGCAGAGTTAATCTTGTCAGACAAAATCTTTTTATCGTTCAGTGCAACTAAATTGCCTGCGTGTGTCTGCTGTCCAAACATAAAGTTGAAATTAAATGTTTCTTACCCAAGAATGGGATTACAAAATATCACAATTCACTAAACGCTGATCCTTCCGATGAGTGTACATCATAAAGTTGATTATGTGTGGGATAACGGGAATGACAAGCGATCGAAAGACACAACAGTTAGGCTGATAGATTTCATGATATCAGGATGTCATGACGTAAATCAGCACAAGATACTGGCATATAACACGGTGTTCAGCTCGTAACATTACACGTTCACAAGCACAGATACTTCTTTTTAGCGTTAAATATTGCAACAATATCAGATCCACCTTACGATCGCCAGAGGGTTCGGCAGCTCAAAGTTTGAGCAGAGTCAATTATGACGTGATATGCAGATGACGTCATGTGACGTTACGAAATCCGTTGATCTGACTTGTATGGGATTTTACAATGAGGCGATTGGCTAAACAGATTGCTTTAGTTTAGGTTTTTGTAAAGAACGAGAGTCTTTATAATCAAGATGAACGAATTTAGATCATATTTGCATTTCGGGTCAGAATAAGGGCAGCCATGACAATTCAGACTCGGTATTTTGGGTTATAGTCTGTCTGACTATAACGGACATGTGCAGTTGAACACTGCTCAGTAAGGGTTTTAGCATGTGGGTACATAGTCGATGAACACTTTTAAGATGACTTTTATCAAGGAAATATATAAGGTAGACACAATTTTATGGATAACAACTTCTTTAATATTGTAAAAAGCGACGTTTCGGTATAGATCCTTATACGTTTGTCACCCGTCCACTTCTCAGTAATGTCTATCAAACAAGAAAATATATAGATTTGTAATTATTTATGAATGATATATGTCAGTGTTGCCACGTCTAAAACTTATTAGTACTGGTTACACGATCATTGCAAAATGGCAAATGTTCAAATTTGTGTTCGGATTGTTCCTAACTCACAGGATGGAAAGAATTTCGTTCATAATTGTCATAGATTTAGAATCGAGAACAGAAGAAACCCCACTGTACATTGCTGTAGAAACGACTGCCACCAAAGAGAAGAAAATGTCGTACCCTCGACACAAATATCCTCAGTAAAAAATATGAACTGGCTAAGATAAACTCTAATTGAGTGTGCCGATGCCATATCCCACTTTGTTGACCTGTAAACGTGTTTGAAGATGTTTGTGCATATCTGTCATTAATATTGTTAACTAGATCAATGTCTTGTACATTACAAACCATTTCGTATAATTGATTTCCTGAATGTATGAGTAAGTGAGTATGGTCTTACGCCGCTTTTATCCATATTCCAGCAATATCACGGCGGGGAACACCGGAAATGGGCTTCACACATTGTACCCATGTCGGGAATCGAACCCGGGGTCTTCGGCGTGACGAGCGAACGCTTTAACCACTTGGCTCCCCGACCGCCCCCTGAATGTATGAAGATATACATCTATGTAGACGTTAAATATGTAAATTTAATCAATAACCATATTCAAATGATTTGATTTAATAGAGTATGCATCCTAAAATGCTTCTTGCAATGTATCTTATCGTGTATTGTATCTGTATGTGAGGAATGTCATAAATGAACAAATGTGTACTGATATTCTGCCACAGACACTAGTTAAACACTCTATTTTCTCCCCATTTACCATGGCTGACTGCACTTTAACCCAGAGTTATAGGCGAGGGCACAGTGGGGTGTTCCCCATTATACAAACAATAACCTGACATGTCTGTGCGTGTACAATAGCATATTTTTATTATCCTGCAGACAGAAGGGTAACGTGTGGTTAAAGCGCCGACCGTCACGCCGAAGGCCGGGGTTCGTTTCTATGAACGAGTTTAAGTTGTGAAATTCTTTTCTGGTGTCCCTCACGCGAGGAATGTTGCTCAAAGTGGAGAAAGCAATACTCAGTCTCTCTTCTTGTATCTTATTCCTAAAATAAGGACAGATGAAAATGTAATGTAACCTGCTTCATTATGTTAAAAACGGAATCCCATTGTCTTAATATTACTATCTCGGTACCTCTGAAACATGTAGTGCAATACACTAAATCGTGGTTTACGAACACGAAGAATTAGCTCATTGTGCCAAGTTTTCCGACATCACACTGTGTCAAACGGCCATTGCCTACCACAACACTTCCGTGACTTCAGTGAACTGTCTGCTCTTCGCTCACAACTCAAATCCTGTCTCTTCAGACTTACTGTTTCCAAATGACTTCTTATTGAGATGTCCCTTAAGCATGCACGATGCATGGTAATGCGCCATACAAATAGACTATTACCATTATTATTATTTATTATGATTATAACCGGAATCTTTCATTTACCCTTTAGAATTGACACCTGTGACGCGTTATCACACACGAAACAGAAACATCCACAGGTGCCCCACAATAACGTTGCGATAACAGCGGAGTAAAGTTCCAATTAAGCTTTTGACAAGTTATCCCCTGCTAAGTTAAACAGGTGCTTTGACCATCTGTCTGCAGAACTTCCTCCTTGGAAGTAGGCACAAAACCACCAGATGCAGCTGAAGCTTAGGAGCTGTTTTCTTGTCCTTCAATAAAAAGGATTTACAATTCCATGGCTGAGGAAAAGTCTTCACGTGTTAAGTTCGACACGACATTACTACGTCACAGCCTAGGAGACATGATGATGTAGGTCGGACATAGGATGGACAAATCTGAGTAGGTAATATAGCTGACAAATGAGCGTCCTGGACGAATGTTTTGCATCGTAAAGTTCAAGTGTCCAAGAAGATTGAAAAGCTTTTCTTATGGTGATTTTCTCTTTGTCACCAATTCCTTTATGTGCAGAATCTCTGCATTGTTTCTGCTCCAGTGTTAATGGAGTCATTTATTGTTTGAAATTCGTCTATCAGGTGAAATATATGGGCAACATTGTACAAATGCTCAACAATCTAGCCTATTGATTCATACGGTTGGTCAAACAGTTTGGTGAGGTGAAATGGGGTTTAACGTCGCGTCCAAGATTATTGCACTTATATAGCGACGTGCATGCACGTGTGTGTGTGTGTGTGTGTGTGGCTGCTTGTACTAGTCCGGACTGATGCCGATTTATAGTGCTAGCTCACTGAGATACCATGCCACAGTTTAACATGAATACCCCACTCAGACACAGTATACTGACTTCGAGCCGACCAGTCCCTGTTTTAGCCCCTTAATGCCGAGCGACAGACAAGGTAACAACAAGTACCATTTTTAACGTCTTTTGGTATGACGCGGCCGGGGATCGAATCCCTGACCTTCCGCTCTCCGGGTGGACGCTCTACCACTAGACCACGGAGGCGATCTCCAACAGTTTGGGGCTGGATCGGGATCCAGACACCACCCATGTGTAGTAATAGACTGGCGTGAAGATGCCAGTCAAGAGATTGCATAGGATTTAGTTTGAAAGTGTCTGCGATGTCCAGTTCTCGTGATGATCTCGGTAGCATCATCTACACGTACCTTCAAATATGTAAGTCAATGGTCTTCCTTGCTGATTAACAAGTTAAGACTAGGATGTTGATCATCGCTGTGTGGTGATGATAGGTTCACGACCAACCACTTCTTTCCTGAATAGCTTCCGGGCTTCCTTCTACCATGTCAATATTATTAATTGGGTTGACTCTGTGAGACGGAAATGGCGTCGTGTTCTTTCGAGATGACAGTAAATTCCGGCAACTCTTCGTGTGTGTTTGTGGATTTACAATACTGGTTAGAAAACGACGTGTAAGTCCATGAATGACAGTGTTAACTGC